CCCAAGGAAGAAGAATTGATAGTAGGGGAGGGGGGTCACCTGATATAATCTGTTGTTCCAAGGGTTTGGGCAGGCCTGGTTTCCACCTGTCCCAGGAGCCGGAGAGATGACTCGGTGGTTAAGGACGCTGACTGCTTTTCCAGAGGACCTGGGTTCGATTCTCAGCACCCACATCAAATATATGTATGGGGGAAAAAAGCCACCAAAAAGCCACCAATGCATTAAAAAGAAGCAGGTGCACAGGTGGGGCTGACCTGGTATTTAAGAGACACAGAGCAAATGTGGGTGTGTGCGTGCAGTCAGGAAAGAGAAAGAGATGGAGATAGATAGAGACACAGAGATAGAATAGAGAGAAAGAAGCCATGAGACTGTATGGATGTGTGTGTGTGTGTGTGTGTGTGTGTGTGTGTGTGTGTGTGTGTGTGTGTAGAGAGAGAGAGAGAGAGAGAGAAGTTTAAAATGCTCCCTTTAGCATTCTTACTCATATGGTTAGTTTTATTCTGACATTTTGCTACATGGTTTTTATTAGTCACATCTGATCTTTGTGGCTGCCATCACTGTCTCCTCCTCCTCCTTCTTCAAGATTTATTGAACATTTTGTATAGTTCCATTTTATCTTCTTTGTTGATCTGTTACTTGTAGCTCTTTGCTTGGTTATTTTAGGGCTTGCTTTGTGATTTATGGCACACATCTTTATTTTTTTCTTAGTCTACCTTAAATCAACATTGTGCCTTTCCACATGTAGCACAAAAGTCTTGTGATAATCCACCCCAGTTTCTTTTCTCCTGACCTTTATGCTATGCTTGTCCTGTATTTCATGTCTCTGTGTATTATAAACCCCATATACCACTATTATTTTTGCTCAGTCAAGAACAGGGCAGAGATATTTAAGTCATAAGAAAAGTATTTTGGATAGTTACCATTAGATAGTTCTCATAGTCCTCTCTGTAGAGTATATTCCTTCCATCTGGAATTATTTGCCTTCTTCGGCAATAAACTTTCTTTAGCATTTCTTTTGGAGAAGATCATCTAGGGATAAATTCTTTCAGTTTTTATGTGTCTTAAATAGTCTTATCTTGCCTTTGTTTTTGTGTGGTGTCTTCACTGAGTGTTGAATTTATTTTCCTTTTGTGCTTTCAAGATTTTTCTCCACTGTTCTCTCACTCACGTTGTTCCTGTTGAGGACTTGCCTGGCAGTAATGGTGCATTCCTTTAACCCAGCACTCGGGACGCAGAGGCAGGTGGCGCTCTGTGAGTTTGAGGGCAGCCTGGTCTACAGAGTGAGTACCAAGTCAGGTAGGGCTACACAGAGAAACCCTATCACAGAGAGAGAGAGAGAGAGACACAGACAGACAGACAGACAGACAGACAGACAGAACTCTGCTGTTAAATTTGTCTGTATTCCTCTCTGTGTAGCTTATATGTTTTTTCTATAAGATTTTCACCATGTCACTGGTTTGGAGCAATTTCATTGAATATCCTTTGATGTAGCTGCCTTCAGTTTGTATGTGGTTGGTTTCTACATTGGTTTATAGTTTTTATTAAATTTAGAGAAGTTTTAATCACACTTTCTTTGAACTTAGGGAGAGTGGAGAAGTTCTCATGGACCTACCAGTCTTTGTTCATAGTTCATCCTTGAAAGGACATGGTATTCATTCAGAATCCTTCCTTCCTTCCTTCCTTCCTTTCTAAAAGGATTTTTTGAATGTTTATTGATGTGTGCAAATGTACCCAAATATGTATGTATGCACATGGGACACAAGTGTGCCTATGGGTGCTGGAAGAGGCTATCTGGAGTCAGTTGTGAGTTCCCTGATGTTGGTGCTTGGAACTTGAACTTGGGGCTTCTGTAAGAGTAGCATGCACTCTTAGCTATTAACTGTCTCTCCAGCCACGAGAGCACTTTTTAATATAGAAGGTGTAGTTTATACCAGATACTCATAGTCTTAAGACCCGCATCTACCGTAGGAGCAGAGGAAGGAAGAAGAGGAGGCTGCACTATTCAGCTGGTAGGTTAGAAATCAGGAATGTCCACAGTCAAGCAGAGGTGGTCTAACTCTTACCTCAACACTTGGACTCCAGACTGAGATTAGCCCTGTCTATCAGAAGCAGCTGAATCCAGGAAGAACCAGTCTTGGTAACACCCTCAGGTGCCCAGACTCTCAAAACAGAATGAACACAAAATTATAATTAAATGCCTTGTGGTGCTGTCTTAGGGTTTCTGTTGCTGTGACGAGACACCATGATCATGGCAACTCTTATTTAAGAAAGCATTTAATTGAGGTGGCAGCTTACAGTTTCAGAGGTTCTGTCCATTTTCATCATGGTAGGGTGCATGGCAGTGTGCAGACAGATGTGGTGCTGGAGCTGAGAGCCTACATCATGCAGGCAATAGGAAGTGAACTGAGACACTGAACAGTATCCTGAGCATAGGAAACGTCAAAGCCCACCCCCAACAGTGACACACTTCCTTCAACAAGGCCATACCCACTCCAATAAAACCACACCTCCTAATAGTGCCACTCCCTGTGAGATCATGGGGGCCAATTGCATTCAAACGGAATAGAAGTCAATTATCTTATAGGACATCTCTTGAACTTTCACCTCCTGTCTGTCCCATTGCCATATTTCTTTTGAACTAAGTCAATATGAACATTATCATCACGACGAATTAAGAGATTTGGGTTAAATCTTATTATTTATGTTACTTTGGAAACATTGTGCCCATTTTGAAATGAAAAATTGCTAGCACACATTCACAGATTCCTAAAAAAGACTAGAAATCCTGGAATGAACAACGGGGCCCTGTCTTACATTGAGTTCAGCTTTGCACGCTGTTGTTTGCTCATTAGGTTTTCTTTAAGAGTTCCATCATCAGTATCAAGTGATGTCCTTAGCAAGCCTGATTGCTGGGCTGCTGAACACCCCATGTGACATACTGCTAGGCCAAAGATTAGAAAACCCGAGTTTCTACTGATTCTCCGACTTTAAGCCCTCTGTAAACTCTCTCGTGTAAATTTGTGTCAATTCCCACCCTCCCTGTGGACACCAGGACACAGTCTTTCTGCTCTGGTCAAAGTCAAGTGGGAGAAGCCATGACTAAATCCTGGAGAAGCAGAAGCCCCAGCTGCCTGAACTAGCCTAGACAGGTTCAGCTCCTGGCAGCTCCTTCTCCAACAGAGCAGGTTCAAGGCCTTAGGCGATGGAGGACCCGATGTTCTACCAGCACTCAGTGGGTCTAAGAGCACTGTCTCTTTTCCCCACAGGTGGGAGTACACTCCAATTCTCTCCAAATGCAAATGTTTCCACCAAATATGGCCTCATATCTTACCTGTAAAATAGTCCCATAACACAATCATAAGTTGACTCAAGTACAGGTCCCATATGTTTATTTTTCCACAAACAGAAAGGTAATGGTCTATTGGACAGGAAAAGGGAATGTGTTTCATATTTTGATGATCTCTTACAAGTAAAGCCAGGTCTATATTTTAAAAGAGATTTCTAAGTAGCAGATTAGAATTGTTTGGGAGATGAAAAAAGAAAATTCCTCTGACAAGGAAATGTAGTTTATTTTAAAGTCTTGAAAAGGTTGAATTTAATTATAGGTGGCAGCAAAGAGAAGAAAAAGGAACGTTGAAAGTTGTCCTCAGAAAAACTAAGGTAGCATATTCTGAAAGGAAAATATAGTCAAGTAGCTTTGTGAAAATGAGGATATGAAAAAGGAAGGAAAGAAAGGCTGGGGACAAACCTCAGTAGCAAAGCACGTGACCAGCGTGTGCAAGATCCTGGGTGTGGTCTTCAGGACGGAGGAGCAGAGGAAGAGGAGGAAAACCTTCTTGGCAGTGATGGCATTTAGGACATGCTTCTTCAAAATGGGGCAGCTTGGCACCTGAGCAAAGAGCAGAATCAGGAAGGTCATTGTGACCTTGGCCTGCCATTCCCTCATGGAGGCAGATTGCAATGCCGGTGGATGGGACTTTCCCTAAGAGCTTGGTGTGAGTGATTCCTCTGCTCAGAGAAGACTGGCACCCTCCTCTCTGAGGACACAGGAACTCACAGGCTAACCTGACACTCAGGCCTTCCAGGTCCTTCCAAGTTGCTGTCCTGAGGCATCAGGCTCCTTCCTATTCAGTTGTCTTGTCTCCACCACTTTATCAGACCTGACAGAAAATAATTACGAGTGACTGTGTCTTAGGACTTTATTTCCTTATGAAAGAAGGCTACTATGCCATAGAAAACTGATATCCAGTAAGTATGTGTGCCTTTCTCTTGTTACTCTGTCTTTCGTTATAGGGGCTACAGTCTACCCTGATACCCTTTCTTCTTAAAGTTTTGTTTGTTTTTGTTCTTTGAGACAGGGTTTCTCTGTGTAGCTTTGGCTGTCCTGGAACTCACTCTGTAGCCAGGCTGGTTTTGAACTCACAGAGATCCTCCTGCCTCTGCCTCCTGAGTGCTGGGATTAAAGCTGTGCACCACCACTACCCAGCTCTTCTTAAAATTTAGACAGTCACTAAAATGAAGTAATTAGAGAAAACAAATATGCTAGCAATGACTGCATCAAGAGGGCATGCTCCCTCCAGACAGAAACTTAAGGCTCACCTGGCCACGACACTATGCTTCAGATGGGCTTTTTTGAAGTTCAGCCAAAATACCTGCAATGGACTTTAAGTTATTCTAACAGTAACCTTAACATTTACAGTTATGACATTCACTAGAGCAGCTCTCTGAATCCCAGCACCCTGTTTTTTAATTTTGCATACAAAAGACAAAAAGCAGACATTGATTATGGGTTAGGAAAAACAATATTAAAAGAAAATTTATGAATGTAGGGAAAAGCAAAGAAATGTGGTATAAATTGTATATCTTTTGCTACTTATTTGACTATTATTGGTGGTCAGGAAAAAAAAAAAAAAAAAAGACTTTCCAGTGGGTCCCGAACAATTCTCCTACTAAATCAAAGGATGACTGAAGAAGCCTTGTTTTGTTCTTTTGTTTTGTAGGTATTATTACTTGGCATTCCAAGCACATCAAACACCTCCCTCTAACAAAGAGAGCTGTGTCGCTATCTTGGAAAAGTCCGGATTAGATCACTGGGCCCTGGGAAAAACAAAGGTAGCTCTCTCTATTGTTCAGACTGTCACCTGTGATGCTCTCTTGTCACTGAGAACTCGCAAACACGGCTTTGTACCTGGCATACCATAGCAGGCAAGACTCCAACTTAAAAATGGTCTTTGCTCATCTTAACTCAGAAGCCATAGGAGGATTGTTTGTACATGTTCTGTAATTTGAGAATCTTTTAGCATTTCTAGAAAGAGATCTTTGAATGCACTTTAAAATGTCCGCTTTCACATACTTCATGATGGAGCACACATGTTCACATATAAATCATAGTCACAGCAGTGATGAGTTCCCTTTAGAGTTCCACCCATTTTTGTGTTAGACCTGTGCTGTTTATTGCATACTCTGATTTTACTTTCATCGTGTGTAGCTTTTCATTTGGGGAAACAGCATGTCCCCGTGGGACCCCAGGTTTTTATGGTTAAATTCTACAAGACCAGTTCCAGCCTGTGTGTGGATTTCCTCAATGGAAATTAGGTCACTGAGGGTCATGGGGTCTCCTGGCCTCCTGACTATCTGCTGACCTTAGGTGGACCTGCTGCTCAGCCCCTCCCTCAAAGGCTTTGAGGGGCAAGGAGGGCAGAGCTGGGCTGAGAAAATAGAACTGACTACTGGGAGGCAGGCCCAAATGACATCCAGGATTGTCTAAACCCTACAGCCTTGTTTTAGAAGGGGAATTGTATTTGCCAGCCCCCTCCTCCAGACATCACCAATGTATGCATGAGTTAAATCACTATGAGCTTTACTTAGATGATGGTTTTAATATTTTGATGAATCGGCTGGAGCAGAGGGATTTTCTGTTGGGAAGCCCAAATGTAACACTAAAACAGTGATTCCTTTCAGGTTTTTCTCAAATATTACCATGTGGAGCAATTAAATTTGCTTCTTCGAGAAGTCATAGGCCGAGTGGTCATGCTGCAGGCATATACCAAGGGCTGGCTCGGAGCCAGGAGATACAAGCGAGCCAGACAGAAGAGGCAGAAGGCTGCCACAGCCATCCAGTCAGGTATGCAGCCTGGTTCTGGCCAGTACCATCTCCTGGTATTTCCTTGCGTGCTGGGGGGCCACTTGCCTAAGTCTTCCCCTTTTCCTTTCACCCTTCTTCCCCTTGTCTTTTCTTACTTCAGGAAATGTTTTTTCAGTACCTACATGAGTCAAGCCCCATACTAGGTGCTGAGGATGTAGTCAAAGGTATCCCTCTATGGTCTCTGACCTCAAAGAGAGACAAACATACAAGCCAGTAGAACACCCTGGGGTGAGTCGTGAGACAAAGGCAGTGTGAGTTGACCAGTGGTGACAAACTCCATCACTAAACATGGGCCTGTCTCCTGAAATGACAGCTAATATACGCTTAGGGTGATACCCAGATGGCACCATCACAATGGCTAACACCATCCTCATAGGGGTTTGTATCCCAGCTGGACTTATAAACAAGAAAAACAGTCTCTAGGCTTTATCCCAGCCTGCTGATACCTCTGTCCGTGTGCTTATATCATGGGTGTTAGGCACAATACCCAATTCTCTTGCTCCTCATGAGCGGTTAAAAGAACCAAATCTTGAATGCAGAAGATGAATTTCTTGGTTCACCTAACAAAAAGCCATAATGAGCTTTAGCATGCTTTGGACCTCATGAGCTTGCCCAGAGATTTGACGATGCTCAGGCCGTTGTGGGGACATAGGAGACAGCTGCCCATCTTGGGTGGAGGCTCTGTGTCACTTCTGTCTGAAGATGTCTGTCTCCCACACTCTGTTCTCTCTCTCCTCTTGGCTCTCTTCTTTGTCTCCCCTCTCCATGGAAGATGTTGACCCTTCCTCAATGAACACAATTATACCTGTCTCCTGAACATAAAACAATTAAAAGGACTGGGCTAGCTCAGCACCTCCCACTATCCCCCCAAGCCCTAAGCCTAGCTTAAACCTGTGTACACAAGGCAGGGGTTTCTGAAAACAGGAAACCACCTCACCGGTGGTCACTGGTTCCCACTATTACTAAAACAGAACTCAAAATGTTCTGGGGGAAAAAATCACTGTTTGACTAAAAATCATTTCTCAAACTCTGCAAACTTGACCAAGAGTTCAGAAAGGCCCCTCCCCCACTGGAGCTCATCTGCTGATTTTGCTTAGGGAGAAGGTGGGTGGGGGGTGGGAAGAGAGAAACATATTGGAGGTGGAACAGCTTATATCAATTCTCTGGCACATTTTTAAATTAATGTCATTCCCGGCACATGGTTTTATATTTTTAGCCTGGAGAGGATATGATGCTCGGAGGAAATTTAAGCAAATCAGCCACAGAAGGAGTGAGTCTGCGGTTCATACTCAAGCAGGTAATTAAAACATCGTTTCTGCAGTGTCCACTTGAAATGTTCTGACTCCATTCAGATGTGTGAAGCTGAAAGGCTAATGACAGAGGAGCAACGGGGTGAGTCAAGAGTCCTGGCATGTGTATGTGAGGGCAGGGCTCACTTCTGGCAGCTCTCCTGGCTGGGGTCCTGAGGTGTCGGGCACATTTACCAAGGGCCATGCTTACTAAGAAGGCTCTCGGTCAGTTCGTATGTTTCTACTACAGTAGAAGAGGAAACTGAGGCAGGGAGAAAGGATGTATCTTATCCATCACCACACAGCTTGCTAAGAGCAGAGCTGGTCTTTGAAAGCTAGGCAATTTGGGCTGAGAACATTTAACACGATGTTGCTACTGGACAAGTCTCTTTCCTCCTTGGGGTTATTATTCCATCTTTAGTGAAATGAGAGAAACTGGCTTTAAAGACGTGTGATGCCCACACCTTTAATCCCAACACTCTGGAGGCATAAGGCAGGCTGATCTTTGTAAGTTTGACACCATCCTGGTCTATAGAGTTCCAGGACAGCCAGAGCTATACACAGAGAAACCCTGTTTTTTTTTGGGGGGGGAGAAATGGGGCATGGGGAGGGGGGAAGTCCTGTCTGACTCTCAGCATCATAGAAAAGGGGGACTTGGGGATACCCCAAAATCTATGTCTGTGTGGCTAGCTAGCATAATAATCTTCTGGGCCCAGGGATCCTCGAGAACACACAGTAGGTCTCCGGGCTTTGCTTGACCTTGGCAGCCTGAGAGCTGTGAGCCTTGGTTGATGGTTCATGAGTCCACTCCCTGGCTCAGAGGTCACTGGACTCTTCTGCCATGTCCTATGTGACTGCCAAGACAGGCTCCCTCCCTAGTTTGAAACTGCAAATCCAAAATTGAGGTTCTAGGAGAAACAGGATCTTGACTATGCCAAGAGTTCCAGGGGTGCAAGAAATTGGAGACAGAATGAGCTTGTGGAGGATGATGCTACAGCGGGGGGGGGGGGGTGTGTTCCAGAGGCGAATCCTTCAGTCAGACAGCTATGATCTTCACCAGAGGGCTCAGGCCAGAGCCAAACTCTGAGGGGTCCTCCTCAGAATTCTTAGGCCAAGGCAGAGGCCAGGTATCTTCACTAAGAACTTAAGATATTTTGGAGTTCTTAGGGCGCCCTTTAAGTGTAAATGTGTTGTGCTTAGCACCATCTTCTAGTAATTTCCAAGCTCTACCACTTCAAAGCCCCAAGAAAAGTGAAAAAAAAAAAAAATCCTTGATGCAGCTTAAGAAGCAAACTCAAAGTGCATCTTGTATTCACTACTTATTGCCAACACACACACACACACACACACACACACACACACACACACACACACACTCCTCAAGAGGATACTAGCTGATTTCAGATTTTTGCAATATGTTCAACATATGTTTTAAAATAAAAACTTTAAGCCTGTATATTGTTGATTCATTGAGTCCATTATATAAAAATCATGAAATGTCTGAAAATCACATTTGATGGCCAGGTGAGCACTATTTGAAAGCAGAAACAGACTTGCTTCATGACCTCTGCCTTAAAACAGTGATTGGTGGGTGCGCTTCATCCTTGAAGCACATGTGGGTGGGTACCATGGGAGGTTAATTTTGGGTATTTTCTTAAAGCACCTCCCTTTCCTTTTGCAAGCATTCACTCTCCTTAGCTTCACGGCCAGTGTTCTCATTTACTAAGTAGCATCAAAATGTGTTTTAGCCGATTCTGCTGGGGCTCAGGAGGGCATGAAGCTCACACACACCTGTGCCCTCAGTGCCCTGTGTGGCAGGAAGCAGGTGAAGTCTCTACCTTCAGCTAACAAAATGGACAGGAACTGATTTGACCCTAGGATTAGGACTGGAGCTAGGGCTGTGATTTTCCCAAGGCATAACTGTCTCCCTACAAGCTCCCATTCCTGCCATAGAAAACACCCCAAATATAATTGTCCACATAAAAGCTACATAAAGAGGGGTGACCAGCTCAACACAGCCATTTCCGAGGTTAATTTCTGACTGATTATTTTTCCGACAAATTATTTTGAAATTTCGGTTCTGTGGAATGCATTTGTTTGCATTTTCTAGCTCCTATCCACGGCCTTCTTTCATATAATGACGTTGCTGAGCTTATATATAATATATATATATTAGCAGCCCTTGAAATTTAGGAAGCATTTGGCCTACATGTTGCTGCAGAGCAGCACAGAGTGAAATTTGTTTTCCTTTCATCTCCTTCCCAATAAAAGCAGCCCAGCGCAGCTTATCCCTTCCTCAGAACTTCCTCTCAGAATTCCCGATCTATTACAGCACATTCGGATACCAGCAACAAGCTGCCTTTTCATGCCGTCAACCTTTTTCATCTGAAATGTAAATTAATTCTAGCTGGTATGCCTTGACAGAGATCAAAGTCTGCATTAACCTGCTGCTTTCTGCTCCTGAGGACTGGGCAGCCACTGATAGGAGCCTCTGGCCCCATGATCCTGCCCTCCTCCAGGCAACCCTCAACAAGGAGCCACCCTATTAAAGGCTCCGTGTTCTTTCGTAAGACCTCCAGAGGTTCTTTAAACCAGACCCCAGTGATCTGCCCAGTTCTTGAACACTGAGCCTGCTCGGTTTAATTTTGGCCTCTTCCCTAGGCTCCCAGGGCAGGAGTTAAGTGGCCAGCGCCCTGGGCATGGGGTGGATAGGGCAGAGACTCCACATTGGAATCGCTTCTCTCTACCAGTCGGTCTTTGAGGTAGGCGCATTTGCATTTTCAAAATAAACAGATGCCTTTCAAATACATGAGCTGGTGGTCTGGAGATCTCTCCCGCCTCAAAGGGTGCAGCAGCCAGCGATCAAATGTTGGAGAGAAAACAGACGAGGAAACACCCTAGGTACTAGAGGACAGTTTGCTGTGTGGCATCCCCGAGCAGCAGGCGGTGAGAGCTTCCTGGAGCTGTAGGAGCTGAGGGGGCGGAGCCAAGCATTCTGTGCTGGTTTCCTTTTGGGACTGGAATACAACTCGAAAGAAAGTCAGTCACCTTGGCTTGTATTATTTTCATTATTGATTGATTCTGGGGCGGGTGGGGGCGGGTGGGAGGAAGACTGGGGAGTGTGCTCTCTGTAAGAAAACCAGGAGACAAGACAGCAGATAGATGGGACATTCCAAGTAAAAACTTAAGTTATATTTATTCCACTACAAATCGATTACTTTTTGATTAGCTGCTGAGTTTCTGAAAGACAACCTAGCTACATTCATTCTCTGGAGAGAGAAACAAAAACAAAAACAAACAAATGCATGCATTCCCCCCAATGACTTAGAATCAAAAGAAACAACACACAGGGAATTTCTCAAACATCTACAGTGCCCATCCCATTATTTGATTTTTTTAAAAAATTGCTCCACTAATTCAGGATCTGTTTATAGAACACAAAGTACTGGGCCTCCCTGTCTTGGGGCTGGGGCTGAGGGGGTACTTACTCTCTTGTAGGTGACAGTGAGTCTTCTGAGAAAGAATTTTGAAATGCTTTCCAGTAAGAGCTGGCTTATGAGGTACTGCAGTGCTGACACACACACACACAACACACACACACACACACACACACACACACACACACACACACACACACACACACACACACACGCGAGAGCTTGTGGACCCAGCCTGGTAGTTCACAGCACATTGTCACTGAATTGCTTAGTGCTGTGGAGATTGATTTTTTTTTTTTTTTTTTTTTAACCATCCTCTATCAGAGTGCACCCTGCCCCCCTCCTTGGCCCTGCCAGCAACACAGATGTCATCAGATGATGGCAGCAGTGTCAACAACTACGGCTACTTCTCTGATGCCCTCTAGGAGAGAGCTCTTCACTAAGAGGAGCCTTGGGCCTTCTGAATACACATTCTAAACCAGCTGCCTGTGAGGCTGGCAGGATGGGGCTGCTTCCATGAGCCTTCCAGAAAGAAAAGCAAGCACTGCTTCCAGATTGCTTGACCCTACCCTGTACCAGAGCTACATTTTTGGTGTTTAAAATTGCTCAGACCTTTAAACTGCCTTTTGTTTTGTTTTAAGACAGTCTCTTTATATAGCCCTGGATGTCCTGGAACTCACTATGTAGACAAGGCTGGCCCCAAACTCACAGAGATCCACCTGCCTTTGGCTTCAGAGTGCTGGAACTAAAGTTGCAAGCTACCATACCTGGCTAAACTGCCCCTTTGTTACTTTAAATAAATGGCTTGGTGGTAGTGCACATCTCCTGGGCTGTAGAGTAAAACCCTGTCTTACAATAAAAATTTAAATCAGGAGTTGGTGCAGGCCTTTAATCCCAGCACTCAGGAGGCAGAGGCAGGTAGATCTCTGTGAGTTCAAGGCCAGCCTGGTCTACTGAGCAAGTTCCATAACAGCCAAAACTATACAGAGAAACCTTGTCTCGGGAAAGATAGATAGATAGATAGATAGATAGATAGATAGATAGATAGATATTAGTTAAAGGGGTGGAAGGGTAGAAAGATGGCTCAGTAGTTAAGAACACTAACTGTTCTTCCAGAGGACCCAGGTTCAAATCCCAGCACCTACAGGGCAACTGACAATTGTCTGTCTGTAACTTTCAGTTCCAGGGAATTCAGTGCCCTCTTCTGGCTTCCTTGAGCACTATATGCATGTGGTGTATAGATACACACTTAGGCAAGCATCGTTGCACATAAAATTAGAACAAATAAAATCTCAAGGAAAAATTTAAAGGGCTTAGTATGTATATCAGTGGCAGCACACTTCCCTTCCCACTAAAAATCTGTTTCCTTTAGCTTCCGTGATGAGGTAACAACAACTACATAACTGTAGTAATTTCTTTGCATTACAGTTCCACAGATATTGCTAGGTGCAGGAAACTTTATTTTATTATTCATCCACTCATTATCTACTGCTTGTTACATACTTTTTCCTGGGGCTGACATGATAAACGGTAGAATTCACTGGGCCTTCAAATTCTCTAGCTCTAACACAGGTCTAGA